GTTACCCATGGTCAGCCGCACCCTGAAAATATTAAATAGAAATTCCAAAGAGAAACAACATATACGTTTTAAGTTGTGTACCATTCTAAGTAGTGTGATGAAATCTTACACTGTCATACTCTGTCCCTTCTTCACCACAAGAGGAAAGGTGATACAGTAAAATAAGATATCTTTAGAGAGAAACCACATTCACATAACTTTTATTGCAGTATAATTGTTCTCTTTTACTATTAGTTATTGTTAATCTCTTACTGACCTAATCTATAAACTAAAACTTATTGTAGGTATGTATATATAGGAAAAAAACAAGAGTATATATATATATATATAGGGTTCAGTACTCTGCAGTTTCAGGCATCTACTGGGAGCCTTAGAATTTATCTCCCGAGGATAAAGGGGTACTCTTGTATACCTAGTGGCATTTTATCTACCGTGTGGCCAGATGAAGGTATTTTTTATTCTTAAACAGCTGCAGTTAGAATTTAAAGAACCCAATTTATAGAATGTAGCCAGTCATGGATTGGAAATTTCAGGTCCCACAGCTGTTTTCTGAAGCAGCTTTTGCCAAGTGTAGCACTTGAGAGATGGAGAAGAATGATTCTATACAGTGTTTTCACACTATTGTGACCTGGAGGCTCTCTCTACTTTCAAGCTTCTATTTTGGTAATGTTATGTTTTCCATCTCCATTAGTTCAGCTGCAATAATGTCCTCAGTCAGGATAGGTACATAGTGTCTTGAGGAAGAGCAATAAGTCTTTTTGGTGAGATGGGCTTGTCAGCAATCAAATTGATAACATTTTTACATGGCCTTTTATTTGCTTGATTTTCAGCCTGAGTTGCTTAATAAATATGGATGTTCTGTCCAGGGGATTTTCATTCTCATTATGGGACTGTGTTGCATTGCTGTTGTAATCGGTTTATGACTTCTCCAGTTATCTCTGGGAGTGCTATCAGGGTGGAACGTCTTTAAGCTCCATTATGAAAAGCTGTCGTGTTAGCTATTTGGCCTTCAGAATGGCCAAATCTTTGTCGGTGTTGCTTTGCTTTTGGGGTTCTATAGTGTGTAACCTGATTGAAAAATGGGCCCTGGCTCTTATATGAGCAGGGGAATTGGATGGAGGATATCTACCTTGCCAACGTTCCCATTTACAACATTAGCACTTACAGGAAACTTCACTGCCATTTGAACCTGGCCATGAATGCCACATATAAAGATGCCAGTACCATTTGGGAATGTTGTTATCTTCGTCTCACAGACAAGTGATGGAATTAGATATAAAAAGTGAACATTAGGAAAACCTCCTGTCCTCAATTATGAATATTCTGCTTATGTTGTAAATACTAGTCAAAGACTGCCTTCTTTCATGACTGATATAGTTTTAGAAGCTATTTTTAATGTGGACATGGTAAGCAAGTCAGGCAAGGTATTGTTTTATTGCCTTTGCATTCTTTTGGAAAAGCTATTAGTTCCTTTATGAAGAATCCTGTTATGCCCTTATCCAAAAAGGGACCACAAAACAGGGTAAAAATTGTTAAAATTATATATTATTTGAAACATCTGTTAATTTTTTTTTCCATGATTATTTCCAGAGACAAATTAAAGACTGTGAAGTACATGGAAAAATACAGATGACGCTTCTCTTGTGAGAAGATGTTGTTGATATATTTGACCTCATTTGCAGGCCCCAAGGAATAGTGGACATTGTCTGATAGTATCTCAGAACCTTTGGTTTTCTTAACAGCATCTTATCCTTAAACATTGTTTTTAGCATTCCTGTGGTATAAACCGTAAATGTGTTTACTTCTTTAATTTTTTCTATTTTTTTCCCATAGGGATATTTGAACAGCCAATGTTTAGTGGATTCATATAGATAGCTGTATTATTCGGGGTTCTGCAGAGAAACAGAACCAGTAAGATATGTAGAGAAAGCAAGAGATTGAGATTCATTGGTTGATTTTTAAGGAATTGACTCTCATGCTTGTGGGTGTTGGCAGATCTGAAATCTGTAGAGCCGGCCAGCAGGCTGGAAACTTAGGTTAGACTTGATATTGTAGTTTTGAGTATGGATTCCAAAGGGCAGGAGGATGGAACTCAGGCAGTTTCTGTGTTACAGTGTTGAGAATTTATCCTTGAAGGGAAACCTCAGTCTTTGCTCTTAAGGCCCTCAACTGACGGAGTGAGGCCCACTCACATTGTGGAGCATAATCTGCTTTACCCAAAGCCTACTGATTTAAATGTTAATCCTGTTTTTTAAATGTCTTCACAGAACATATAGACTGGTGTTTGACCAAATAACTGAGCATCATAGCCAAGCCTCATTGACATGAAAAATTAACCATTACAATCACATTATGATTATGGTGAACATTTTGCATGTTTTAGAAGAAAAACAGAGATATCATCTCCTGGGGTAATACACAAAGCACACATATAGGGGAAGGTGCCACTGAAACAGAGAACATATGTAGTTCGGAACTGTGTGGTCCTAATTAAATGCAGAGTTTCTTTTCTTTTCTTTTTTCTTTTTTCTTTTTTTTTTTAGACGGAATTTTGCTCTTGTTGCCCAGGCTAGAGTGCAATGGCAGGAGCTCAACTCGCGGCAACCTCCACCTCCTGGGTTCAAGCGATTCCCCTGCCTCAGCCTCCTGAGTAGCTGGGATTACAGGCACCTGCCACTACATCCAACTAATTTTTTGTATTTTTAGTAGAGAAGGGGTATCACCATGTTGGCCAGGCTGGTCTCGAACTCTAAAGGCAGACTTTCAATCAGCATTCCATTATGCAAATTCAGCTTGCAGAAATGTTTATGTTTGACTCATATTGTAGTTTTAAAAATGGATTAATTGGCTCAAGCCTGTAATCCCAGCACTTTGGGAGGCCGAGACGGGCGGATCATGAGGTCAGGAGATCGAGACCATCCTGGCTAACACGGTGAAACCCCGTCTCTACTAAAAAATACAAAAACTAGCCGGGCGAGGTGGCAGGTGCCTGTAGTCCCAGCTACTCGGGAGGCTGAGGCAGGAGAATGGCGTGAACCCGGGAGGCGGAGCTTGCAGTGAGCTGAGATCTGGCCACTGCACTCCAGCCGGGGTGACAGAGCGAGACTCCGTCTCAAAAAAAAAAAAAAAAAAAAAAAAAATTGGATTAATTGCCAGTATTTAAAAATTGGGAAAACACACAGCAATAAAATCTAGACATCTTAGTTTCCTCAGAAGATCTGGCAACCAAGGTTCTTATTCCCACTTAGTAATGATTGACAGTAAGTAGTAGTTACCTCGTTCAGGCACACATTTCCCATTGAGCTGCTGCACTTATTTATATTAACTGCTAGGCTCTTGGTGGTGTTTGAGATGATGACCTCTTGCCGTAAGGAAGAGAGAGATCCTGTGGGGTAGTGAGGTTCTGTGGAGGATCCTAGTTTTGCCTTGATTAGGATTTAGATAAGCAAAATGAGAAGGGGATATGTCAGTTGACTTTAAAAGAAAAAAGCAAAGATGCATGGAGGTGGGACTGTATGTGAGAAAATTTGCCGCCAGAAGAACAAACCTGTGAGATTGGGTGTAGGAGAGGGTAAGATTGAATTATCAGACAGGAGCTAGCATGACAATTAAGGCAGCATTGTCCTTTTAACAATTAAACTTCAAATTGTCTGTGCCTTAAAACAACTGAAGTTTATTTCTTGATTATGTGAAGTTCAAAATAGGTGTTCCTAGTGGGCAAATCTCTCAAGCAGTTTTGTCTTTTTCCATCTCGTGGCTGTGCCATCTTCACCACTTCTGAAGTCACAGCAGAAGAGGAAAGAGGGTGAATGATTATGTAAGGCAGCAGGTTTCTGTCAAGCATACCTGAAAGTGGTGCACATACTTTCTGCTCACATTTCACTGGCCACATCCTCCTGCAAAGGAAGGCTGGGAAATAGAGTCCAGCTGTGTTCCCTTGGTAAAAGAAGAAACAGGGCTAGTGAATGACTAGCCAATCTCTAGCACAAGAGACAGGGGCATTGGAGGTAAGCAGGCAAGAGCTGCTGTATGATGTAAGATATTTGTTAATCCGTTTAGCATATATTTACAGACTACTTCTCTGTGTTGAATGCTGTGCTATGCACCAAGTAGGCTTTTGAGCAAAGGAGCAATGTGGTGAAAGTGCTGTTTTGAGGAATTAGCCTGGGGGCAGAATACAAAAACAAGAGAAAGCAAATTCTTAGTCAGAGGGGGATGGTGAAAAACCTGCTATCTTTCTCCAGCTGAGAGCTAATGAAATTGTGTGGGTAAAGAGCAATATTAATAGTATCAATGACAATCATAGTTACTATGTGCCATGCAGTGTTACAAGCTACTTTACATGTACTTAACTGTCACTCAAATTTACGATGTAAGTGCTATTACTCTCCTTTTCTAGATGGGGAAAGCAAGTCTTCAAATGATTAAGTCATTTGCCCAAATTCACGTAAATCTTGGCAGGGCTCGAGGATTTAAACTTAGGAAGTCAATGTTGTTTTATAACTGCTATAGTATTAGTGAAATGGAAATCAATCTAATGAAAACATTGTGAGCTTAAGTGAACAGTAATGAAAATTATATTATTAATTTGAGAAGGACACTGTGACTTTCTAAAAGACCTTCATAACCTGAAGAAGAAGAAGAAGTGAAATTGGATAAATGACCTTTGAAGAAATCTCCCTATTCTTGGGCACACTTGACTGGATTTCGTTAACTTCTAATGAGTTTTTGGTGAATTCTGAGCTGTTTAAGAATATGACATCTTTTTAACCACACTCAAAACCAAATCATTGTATCTTGAGGAAAAGCAAGTCTTTAATTCTTTGTTCTGATAAATATGCCAGAACACCAATTTCTGTATCTGTGTCATGTCTTTGTCAGAATTGAAATGGGTATAATTTCAGATAAGGGACTTAAAATAATATGTGTCTGGTATTTCCAGAAATATTAATAAACTCCAGAGACTTTGGGTTGTTGATATAAAGTTCTGTTTTTGGCAGTTGACTGTTGGGATGGCCCGGATGGAGAGCCAGTAGTACATCATGGTTACACTCTCACTTCAAAAATTCTCTTCAGAGATGTTGTGGAGACCATCAACAAGCACGCCTTTGTGAAGAATGAGTAAGTACAGCAGCACCCGTGAGCTAAGCGGTAGCCTCCCGCATGGAGCTGCCTGATGTAACGTAGCTACAAAACCACATCCTCTTCCTTGGACTCTACACTGCCCTCTACCAGCCTAGTTTTCTCCTTCCTTCTCAGCAAAACATCGTGAACAAATAATGTGGCCTTCACGTTTGTACTTTCTCATGCTGCATTGATTCCTTATCCCATTCTTTCTCAATATGCCTCCTTAAAGACGTTCTTGGAAACCGTGACCTGTAAATTTGTAAATCCAGGATGTCAAGTGTCCATAAAATCTGGAAACATAGGTTACTATGTACATAATTAGTGGGTTTTGATCATGATGGATGTCTTATCTATACACTGAGGTGTCTGGAGTCCTTATGTTACTTGACCCTCTCCTGTCATTTGACAAAGTTGAATATTTCCTTGTCTTTTTTGACTTCCATTATATCATTCTCCCCTCCATTGCTCTCATTGCTTCTCAATCTCTTTTTTTTTGTCCTGTGGTCTTCTATTAATCTATTTCCTTACTCCTTTAATGGTTAACTGTTTTCTAAGGTGTTGCCCTAGATCTACTTTCTGGAAATTTATTAAATTCTATGTCCAGAACTTTTCCCCTAAGTTCTAGACCTATGTCGAAAAATATTCAGTGAGGCCGGGTGCGGTGGCTCCTGTAGCACTTTGGGAGGCTGAGGAGGGTGGATCATGGGAGGCCAGGAGTTTTGAAATCAGCCTGGCCAACATGGCAAAGCCCTATCTCTACTAAAAAATACAAATATTAGGTGGATGTGGTGGTACACTTCTGTAATTCCAGCTACTCGGGAGGCTGAGGCATGAGATTTGTTTGAACCCGGAAGGCAGAGGTTGCAGTGAGCTGAGATTGCACCACTGCACTCCAACCTGGGTGACAGAGTGAGACTCCAACTCGGAAAAAGAAAAATAAAAATCCTCAGTGAATATTCATCTGAGTATCTCATAGGTGTGGGGAGCCACAACAGTGAGCAGAAGATAAGACTCCTGCCATTAAGGAGCTTACTCCCCAAGGGGAACTCAGCATCTCAGTCTGCCAAACCTCCTCTTGCTTCTCGCTCCATTTCCTCTTGACGGTTAGGGGCAGCACTGGCTTCAGCCAGAAACTGGGAGTCATTCTAGACTCAACCAATTCTTGGCAATTCTACTTCCCAAGTTATCTTTTGACTCCATTGCCTCCTGTTCATTTTTATTTCCCCTTTGGTTCATCCTCCACACTGGTGGTATAGTTTTCTTTCTGAAATATGAGCATGGTGATTCAATTCTGGTCTTAAAGCCCATCAGAAGCTCTCTCACAGGCATGTCTTCATGTCCCTTAAGGTCTGACATCTCCCTTATCTTCCACTATCATCTTCCACCATTATACCACAGAGATTTAGGATTCTGCCTTCAATGACTGTCTTTCAGCTTCCCCATTGAGCCTGGCTCTTTCCCAACTCCCCACTCTTATGTATGCTGTTCTGTCTGCCTGGAACACCCTTCCCTATTAGTCTATCTGATTAATTCTTGCTTATTCTACAAGGCCATTTAAGTGTTGTCCCTCTGACAACTTACTAATACCACCAGCTGATTTAAATCTTCTTTTTCTCCATATTTTCTCTGTATTTAGCACCCTGCACATATTTCTGTCATATCACATAGCACCCTCTTGCAATTGGTTGGTTCCTTGCCTTCTTTTACATCTGTAAGACTGTGAACTCACTGAAAATATGAGCAATGTCTTATTATTTTGGATTCATTTTTGTTGCCTAGCAGGTACCTTCAGTATACCAGCTGTTCAAGAAAGGATTTTTGAATTAAAGGAAACAAATTAAAATTACAATTGTGTAAAATTAATTTCTTAGAAGTTAGTAGCCTTTAAATTTCCAATATTTGGTCTTCTCATTAATTAAACATGAGGTTAAAAATGCTTTTCCAATGAGACACACTTGCTGCATAGCAGATTTAGTTTATGATGCCTCCCATGTGGAAGAATCTTGAGTACTGCATTCTAATGGGTCTTCACAACCCTGATTTCTACAGGTCCTAGCCAAGTGAGTGAAGTAATTTTTTCTTCATTTCCCAATGTATGAAGTAGAGTGTTGAGGAAGCCTGCCACCTATGTATCTTGGAAGATCCTCTGGTGATTTGACAATTTACTTCAAGTTTGGGAACCCTTAGAAGAAAAGCACTTCAAATTAAAACAGTTAATAAGCTTGTTTAGTACATTTTAAAAGTTCAGCCTTTTCCTCTCCTTTCTTAATTTTGGTTCCATCTTTCTATCAGGGTTTCTCAACCGTGGCACTATTGACATTGTGTATTGATTTTTTTTTTTTTTTTTTTTGGTAGAGAGCTGTCCTGTGCAATGCAGGGTGGAAAGCAGCATCCTCAGCTTCTACTCACTATGTGCCAGTAGCACCCCTGATGTGTGACCACCAAAAATGTCTCCAGATATTGACAAGTGTCTCCTGTGTTGGGGGAATAATCGCCTCATTCCCTGTTGAGAAGCACAGCTTTACACATCATCAAACACTAATTAGCCTGTTTTTTTTTTTTTTTTTTTTTTTTTGAGATAGCCTTGCTCTGTTGCCCATGCTGGAGTGCAGTGGTGTGATCTCAACTCGCTGCAACCTCCGCCTCCAGGATTCAAGCGATTGTTGTGCTTCAGCCTCCTGAGTATCTGGGATTACTGGCACGTGCCACCACGCCTGGCTAATTTTTGTATTTTTAGTAGAGACAGGGTTTCACTATATTACCCAGGCTGGTCTCGAACTCCTGGCCTCAAGTGATCTGCCTGCTGTGGCCTCCCAAAGTGCTGGGATTACAGACGTGAGCCACCACTCCCTGCCGCTAATAGGTTTTTTGTGAATGAATTGACAATGTGAACATTCCTTGTTAAAACTCACTGATGTGACTGCAGGACAACTCAGGGTTGTCAGTTTGTTGTCGCTGTTGCTTTTCTCTCTTCTAGCACCCTAGGGTAAAAGCTATGTGAAGAAACAAATAGCAAACAGATTGTAGTGGAGTAAGGAAACCTACCTCAGCCACAAAGGCTCATCTGTAAGATGACCCACAGCATCAGGTTTTACTAATGAGGAGACAATGTAGGTCTGGAGGTCACAGCCCTTATTGTGGAACTTGTGCTTGTCATGAAAGCCTGGAAAAAGTTTTTCTGCACATTGATGTATTAAGTGATTTAAATATTGGTACATGTTGATATATTAAGTGATTTAAATATGTTGCCTATTATGTCTGAAGATACATAACAGAAAACTAGAAAAAAGTCAATAAACCTGAATTTGAAATAATTTCTTATTCTGAGGAAAAAATAAGGTTGAGAGCAGTGAAATCATGTCATCAGCCCTGATCTCTTTTCTGCCTTAGCCACCAACTCCTTTAGGTAATTACTTACATGGATCTCATGTTTTCTGTGCAGAAACCTGAGTGCTAGTGTAGAATGAATGCTTGGCTGGATTTTATTTTTATTTTTTGACAAACACTTATAATTCTATAAGAGCGATTTTGAAATGTGTGATGTAGGATGCTATAAAATACAGAATTCCCTCATGTTATTTTATCCTCAATCATAATTTTCAAGGTGGGAGTTAATTATATATTTTAGAGTCAATAACTTCATTTAATGATATTCAGTGGTCTCTTAGATGCTTTTAGACTTTTGAATAAATAAGGCAAAATTACATTATATGAGTTTACTTTCTTTTCTTTTCTTTTTTTTTTTTTGAGACGGAGTCTTGCTTTGTTGCCCAGGCTGGAGCACAGTGGTGTGATCTGGGCTCACTGTGAGCTCCGCCTCCTGGGTTCACGTCATTCTCCTGCCTTAGCCTCCCAAGTAGCTGGGACTACAAGCGCCCACCACCACACCCAGCTAGTTTTTTGTATTTTTAGTAGAGACGGCGTTTCACTGTGTTAGCCAGGATGGTCTTGATCTCCTGACCTCATGATCCACCCGTCTCGACCTCTCAAAGTGCTGGGATTACAGTCGTGAGCCACCGCGCCCGATCGAGTTTACTTTCTTTAGACTTCTGATCTCTTTTAAAATTTTCTCTTCTTTTAAAAGAAACATAATATATCTACCATTTTTTCCTGATGCAAAATATTAGAAAAGCCATCCCATGTGGACTGGTATTTTGTTCAGCCATTATGCTTAGCAAAGTATATTTGCTCAGAGGAATTTTTAAAATGCATTTCTAATCTTTCTCATTTTAGAAGCATTTTAATCATCAGCAGTATCGCAAATACTATCACTAGGATTGTAACAACACAATGAATACTGAATCATTTTCAAAAATCCCTGTGAGTTGCCTGCACCCGACTCCTCTGGAATGTGTTGCTCTTTTCTCAGGTTTCCGGTTATATTGTCTATTGAGAATCACTGCAGTATCCAGCAGCAAAGGAAGATTGCTCAGTACCTGAAAGGAATATTCCGAGATAAACTGGACCTGTCATCTGTTGATACAGGGGAGTGCAAGCAGCTTCCAAGCCCTCAAAGTTTGAAAGGCAAAATTCTAGTGAAGGTAATTACTTCAAGTAATGCAATAAAAGACATTCATTATCAGCTAAGCCTGCCCTCCCTTAAAGAATAAAAACTGGTTTCAATGGGGAATAATAATTAGAATCAATACATGAAGGATTGTCTAGATCTGTATATGCTCCTTATTCCAATGTATTTATAGTCGTGTCTTCAGAAGAAGCTTATTGTTGACTGAGCACATATTCTGAGATTTGTACTTATGAAGTGAAAACATCAATACTGTAAGCCAAATGTTTGATATTTTAGTCTGTAATAGTTGACACTAGAGAGAAATGTGTGTGTAGGAGCGTGAGGTTCAAGAAAGGAGAAGGCTCCTTGTATCCATATCTGAAAGTTCTTTTAGATTTTTTTTCTCATTTCAAGCTCCAATAACTATCTGTCAAAAAAAAAAAAAAAAAAAAGCTTCATGGTTCATCAGTCTTGGTTATGCAAGTGAGAAGAGCTCACGTCAAAGAGGAACATAGGCACAGACATCATGCCCCACAGGACTCACGTATATGTGAAAGAGCGGTATGTGAACAGAATGACATTTCATAAACAGATTTTCTGAGGGAGGAAGCTTACTACAATAAATATTATTCATGCAAGGAATAGCCAGAGAGACAGTTCTTTGGGTTTTCAGATCACTGACTTTGCGGTTTTACTTATTTCCAGTGAATTTTGCGTGTTTGTACTAAAACCACCTTGGGTGGCCACATCATTTTGTGATTAAAAATGTAAAGAAAAGCAATAGGGTATTAAGATTCAAACTGGGTTATATTTTACTTAAAAGAGGTGTGTATGGAAAAACAAATACCATATTGGAGGAGTAGGAAAGTCAAGGAGACAATGTAATTTCATGGCAGGACCTCAACTGAGGCTTTAAGGCAGAGCAGCACATGGAAAAGATGGGACATATTCATTCTTAGAATTGGTCAAAACCTGTTTTCTACCAATTAAATGAAATTATAGATTCTGAATACATCAAAAAGGTGTTGCTAGGCATTTATATGCATAAAAATATTTGGAATAAAAGCTCCACATAATGCAAGAGATAACATGAAGGCCGATTTGCCCAAGTCTTGCTAAAGCAAAATTTTATAGTAAAAATTGATTTCTGGGCTAGCAAATGAAATGTCATCTTTATAACCTTGTAAATGTTTCTACTTCCTAAATGTTCTTTAGTCAGCAGTCAGGACGTTAAATGCAGAATAAATTCATTTGATTGAAATCTTTCTCTTTTGGACAGTGGAACTTACATTGGATAGTTAATGTGGACTAACTGAATCTCCTCTGCATGACTGGGCTTTGAGTTATTTGACACAGAATATCCCATGGCTTATGGCATAGGGACGAATCAGAGGCAGAAAGTTTGAGGCACTCATGGGAAAGGGTGGCAGCAACGTGAACTGCAAGTATTTCTAGAGCATCTGAGATCCATTTGCTAGTAGCAATTTTGTTTAGACTTTAAGGAGTTGCCTGGATCTGCGGACCAGCACAACCCCATTTAAAGCAAAAACAAGAAAACAAGACAACTGATTTCTTGTGTTCCTTTAGTATGAGAACAATCTCTGATTGAAAAGGCAGGATTTCTGTGACTACTTACCGCTTTGGAGATTGACAAGTTGTTTATTATTACAACTCTTACACACATGTGTTCCAATCATGCATGCATACACATTGTGTGTAAATTTTCTGATAAAATACAGGCAAACTTCATTTTATTGTATTTTACTTTATTGCATTTTACAGACACTCCATGTTTTGTGTGTGTGTGTGTGTGTGTGTGTGACAAATTGAAGGTTTGTGGCAACTCTATGTCAAGCATGTCTTTCGGCACTGTTTTTCCAAAAGTATGGGCTCATTTTGTGTCTCTGTGTGACATTTTGGTAATTCTTGCTCTATTTAAAACATTTTCATTATTATTGTATCTGTTATGGTGATCTGTGATCGGTGATCTTTAATGTCACTATTGTAATTGTTTTGGGGAGCCATAATCCCTGCCTGTATAAGATGGCAAACTTAATTGATAAGTGTTGTGTGTGTGCTAACTGCTCCATAGACCACCTGATTCCCCATCTCTCTCCCACTCCTCATTTCTCCCAGTTTCCTGAGACATAACAGTATTGAAATTAGGCCAGTTGATAACCCTACAATGGCCTCCAAGTGTCCAAATGAAAGGAAACTCACATGTCTCTTACTTTTTAAAAAATATTTATTTATTTCGATAGGTTATGTGGGAACAGGTAGTGTTTGGTTACATGGATAAGTTTTTTAGTGGTGATTTCTGAGATTTTGGTGCACTTGTCACCTGAGCAGTGTACACTGTACCCAGTGAGCAGTCTTTTATCCCTCACCCCCTCCCACTCTTCCCCTCCGAGTCCCCAAAGTCCATTATATCATTCTTGTGCCCTTGTGCCCTCATAGCTTAGCTCCCACTTAAAAGTGAGAACATATGTTTTGTTTTCCATTCGTGAGTTACTTCACATGGAATAATGGCCTCCAGCTTCATCTAGGTTGCTGCAAATGCCATTATTTCATTCTTTTTATGACTGAGTAGTATTCCATGGTGTATATATGTATACCACATTTTCTTTATCCACTTGTTGATTAATGGGCATTTGGGCTGGTTCCATATTTTTGCAATTGTGAATTGTGCTGCTAAGAACATGTGTGTACAAGTGTCTTTCTCATGTAAAGACTTCTTTGCCTCTTGGTAGATACTCAGGAGTGCTATCTACCAAGAGGAAAATATTTACTTTTAGTTCTTTAGGGAATCTCCACACAGTTTTCCATAATGGTTGTACTAGTTTCCATTCCCTCCAGCAGTGTAAAAGTGTTCTGTTTTCACCACATCTACACCAACATCTAGTATTTTTTGATTTTTTGATTATGGCCATTCTTGCAGGAGTAAGGTGGTATCACATTGTGGTTTTGATTTACATTTCCCTGATTATTAGTGATGTTGAGCATTTTTTCATATGTTTGTTGACCATTTGTATATCTTTTTTTGAGAATTGTCTATTCATATCCCTAGCCTACTTTTTGATAGTATTATTTGTCTTTTTCTTGCTGATTTGTTTGAGTTCCTTGTAGATTGTAGATATTAGTCCTTTGTCAGATACATAGTTTGTGAAGATTCTCTCCCACTCTGTGAGTTATCTGTTTACTCTGCTGATGATTTCTTTTGCTATGCAGAAGCTTTTTAGTTTATTTAATTCCCATCTATTTATCTTTGTTTTTGTTGCATTCACTCTTGGGTTCTTGGTCATGAAGTCTTTGCCTCAGCCAATGTCTAGAAGGGTTTTTCCAATGTTAACTTTTAGAATGTATATGGTTTCAGGTCTTATATTTAAGTCTTAGATCCATCTTGAGTTGATTTTTGTATAAGGTGAGAGATGAGGATCCAGTTTCATTCTTCTACATGTGGTTTGCCAATATTCCAGCACTATTTGTTGAATATGGTGTCCTTTCTCCACTTTATGTTTTTGTTTGCTTTGTCAAAGATCAGTTCACTGTAAGTATTTGGCTTTCTTTCTCTATTCTGTTCCATTGGTCTATCTGACTATTTTTATACCAGTACCATGCTGTTTTGGTGACTATAGTCTTATAGTATAGTTTGAAGTCAGGTAATGTTATGCCTCCAAATTTGTTTTTTTTGCTTAGTCTTGCTTTGGGTATGCAGGCCCTCTTTTAGTTCCATATGAATTTTAGGATTTTTTTTCTAGTTCTGTGAAGAATGGTGATGGTGTTTTGATAGTGATTACATAGAATTTATAAATTGCTTTTGGCAGTATGGTTATTTTCACAATATTGATTCTACCCATCCATGAGCATGGAATGTGTTTCCATTTGTTTGTGTCATCTGTGATTTCTTTCAGCATTGTTTTGTAGTTTTCCTTGTAGATATCTTTCACCTCTTTGGTTAGGTATATTCCTAAGTATTTTATTTTATTTTTTGCAGCTATTGTAAAAGGGGTTGAACTTGGTTGTTGTTGGTGTATAGCAGTGCTATTGATTTGTGTACATTGATTTTGTATCCTGAAACTTTACTGAATTCATTTATCGATCTAGGAGCTTTTTGGATGAGCCTTCAGGGTTTTCTAGGTATACAGTCATATCATCAGCGAACAGTGACAATTTGACTTCCTCTTTACAGATTTGGAAGCCCTTTATTTCTTTTGCTTGTCTGATTGCCTTGGCTAGGATTTCCAGTACTATGTTGAACAGAAGTGGTGAAAGTGGGCATCCTTGTCTTGTTCTAGTTCTCAGGCGGAATGCTTTTCCTTATTCAGTATAATGTTGGCTGTGGGTTTGTCATAGATGGCTTTTATTACCTTAAGATATGTCCCTTCTATGCCGATTTTGCTGAGGGTTTTGATCATAAAGAGATGCTGGATTTTGTTAAATGTTTTTCTGCATCTATTGAGATCATGGGATTTTTGTTTTTGTTTATATCATGTATCACATTTATTGACTTGTACATGTGAAACCCACTTGATCGTGGCGGATTATGTTTTTGATATGCTGTTGGATTCAGTTAGCTAGTATTTTATTGAGGATTTTTGCATCTATGTTCATCAGGGATATTGGTCTGTAGTTTTCTTTTTTTTGTTATGTCCTTTTCTGGTTTTGGTGTTAGGGTGATACTGGATTCATAGCATGATTTAGGGGGGATTCTTTCCTCCTTATCTTTTGGAATATTTTCAATAGATTTGGTGCCATTTCTTCTTTGAATGTCTGATAGAATTAAGCTGTGAATCCATCTGGTCCTGGACATTTTTTTTGTTATTGTTGGCAATTTTTTAAATTACCATTTCTGTCGGATTGCTTGTTGTTGGTTTGTTCAGAGTTTCTGTTTCTTCCTGGTTTAACCTAGGAGGATTGTATATTTCCAGGAACTTATCCATCTCCTCTAGGTTTTCTAGTTTGTTCATGTAAAGGTGTTCATAGTATCCTTGAATGATCTTTTGTATTTCTGTGATGTCGGTTGTAGTATCTCTC